CTTTGTGAACCACACGTGTCACGAGAGTTTCTCTGTCGAACGGGGCAAATCTCACAAGTAACACATGCATAGCTTCCCATTACTCCCCTGATGATCTGGATCACAATTACTGAGTTCAAATTAGCATGATTTTTTTCCCCTGCAGACCCAAAAGAATGTTCTTACCAGCACCCAGGAACAAAGTGGACCACAGATTAACATTTAACATCATATGATTGGAACCGGTCTGGTAGTAGGCTCTCATATGGTCTTGAGACACCCCAGTTAGTCCATCCAGTGTCAAAGACAGCAACTAAAGTGAGGAAAGGAGGAGAATCACAATCTTTAAAGTTGCTGAAAACTATGTTGATGAAGTAGAACACCTCTGTTTTGAACAGTACACATCCCTGTAACCACCCAGGGATATGCAAATAAAGTCCATTTGGTTCAGATATTAACAGCGTACCCAAATTCTGTTAAGTTACAATTCTCAGTTTAGTTTAGCCCCTTAACTAGCCTTTAAGGATGGAACATTCTTAAATCTTCATCTTGGGCCCAACTTCCAGAATAATTTTATTTTTGATGGCAGTCTTACATTTATGCATTGGCAGGGATTGCTTTCAAGGTAACAAAGAATTCTATTGGTCATCTCTTCCTGACTGTTGGAAATAACACACTCAGACAAATGTCTTGTGCTTGCAGATCTGCATGTGAACTGATCCCATCTTACTTGCCACACAATATCAACAGCCATTTCTTTCCTTTTTCCCCCAACCCCAACTTTTTCTAAAAAAATAAAATAAAAAATTGTACAAGTCTGACACCTAGAAGCAAATAGATTAACATTGCTAGGTAAAGAGGTATATATTTTGCTTGGCTATACCCATAGCAGATGGAATTTACTAAGACATCAGGAACTGGATTTTTCACGCATGAGAGATGGTCAAAAGAATGATTATCAATCATTATCCCTACCCTTTTAGCCTTCTGGAGGGTCATGAAGACCTGGCTCTTCGCCAAAGCACTGGGCTAGGATGGGGGTTGAGCTGGGAAGTTGCTTGGTCTGGCACCTGGGGGGAAGAATACTTCTGTGGAGTCCTTGGGTTTCTCTGAGCTTGGTTCTTTTCTTGCAAATGTTTCATTACCCGGCTAGGTAACATCAATCAAGGAACTACCAGAGGAACAAAACAAAATCCCCATCAACACTGGCAAGGCATGCCACAGTATATAAATAGAGAGC